GATTATGGCATTACCTTCTACTATGTTTTAGGTTGTTTGGATGGTTATATGTGTATATAAATAAAAACAGCCTAACTAATATAGTAGTAAACTCAGCTAGTATTCATTATTTCTTAGATTTCATACATAAGGTGGGATATAAACATATTGAAGTAATGATAAGTGATAAATAACAAGATATACACAAATTAACATCTAAGTAATGAACATCTCGAACAAGTATTATGGAATAAGAATCATAGTCATACACTTCCCACCAAAATGGTTTTTGCTTCAATGCTGATGTATGAATGAGATATGCATATACATGAATGGTGGGGTGTGGAGCTACCAACCTGGTTTTGTCATTAGATGGTGATGGTGATGGCAACGACTTTTTGTTGTCTGCCCCCCTTTTGTGCTTCTTAATGCTCTTTGTCTGCCTTCTTTAGTGTTTAATGCTCTGTTTGTCCCTTTAGTGTTTTAGTTATTTCCTTTCTCTGTATTGTCCTTCCCTGCCCCCTGTTTGGGGTAAGAGAACTCCTTATATATTATCACCTTTTACTGTTCATTCTTTTGCCTTGGCTGTCTTTCATTGGGTGGTGACCTGATCCACTTATTTTGATGGCAAATTCTTGTTGGTTCCTAGAGGAGGTGGCCGCTTTGTTGTTTTTAAGAGTACAGCAGTAAAAATCTGCTGCCTCTTGAGATGTGATATGGATCTGATGCCTCTTGGGATGTGATATGGACAATGGGGTCAGTTGACCAGGTCGATCAAAATTGACCGGGTTGACCAGTGTTGACTTTGGTGATCGGGTTGGTTGACCTGATCGGACTGGGCCGAAAATCATGGGCCTGAATTGGCTCAAATGTGGGCTGCTGCTTTGAAAATTGGGCTCAAATGTGGGTTGCTGGTTTCGGCCAATTTCTAATTATTTCTTTTCATTTTTTGCAGGTCATGGGTATGTTTCTGGCCCAAAATTATGATCTATAGAGACCCAAAAAGCCTCAAAGGCTAGGCCTCTAATTTTGATTGGTACCAAAGATTGAAGAAGTCTTCTTTTTATTATACTTAATGTTTTTATTTGTTCATCTTCTAAATGTAATAATTATCAAGTGTACATTTGTACTTTGTAATTAGGCATGTAATTGTTTTTTTGATTTATCATTAGAATGTCGATATAATTATTGAAATGCATGGCCCCAAACATTCCAATGATTCTCTCCAACCCAATTTGCTTGCTTTCTCCAATCGTAACCCAAATCCCAACTTCTAAGTAAGTAGTTGGTAACTATGAATTTTGATCAATAGTAGTAAGATTACCATTGCCCTCCTATCCCATTCGACCAATTTCAAACCTATGCCACCAATCGTTAACTGAATACAATAATACTAGTATAAGTCGTGACGGCATACTATTGTTATTCTAAATAAAGCGAATTTGGTAGCCATTAGCTACTGCTAATCCTACCTAGTACAAATATTCAAACTAAATAAAAAGCGGACTTGAAAATCGTTGGTACTTATTGATTCGCCACCGCTAATCTCAACCAACCTCGTCCAAACTTTCACTTGAGTTTCCTTTTTAAGTTAGATATTTTTTTGAGTTTTGAGTAGGATGTTTGCTCTGGACAAAATGTTGTGTCCATATATATATATATTGTCCTTCAAATGCCTAACAATTAACAAGAACTCAATCAAAAATTAAAGCTGCCCTCATATACAGAGAGCGCCAACTTCATCTCTCTCCCAAGAGACCCAAACACTAAACCCCACTTAACTTTCCCCATATATCCCAAAAAAGACCAACGAGATTGCCATGCAAGAATAATTTATCATCAATTTTGCTAAATAATATACTAGAATCATACTAGCTCTTATGGAACGAAACATACAGATTCTAGTTAGTTTGGACATGCAGGAATCAAAACCTCTCTTTTCATGCGACACTCTATATATGTACAATCATAATAAGGAGCATGTAACTTGGACATACCTCATGTATTGTAACTTCCTTGTTGCTCCTCCCTACTTAAAACTCTTCCTCTAGCTAACTAAATCGGCAATTTAGCACGGTGAATTTCTATGGCCATAAAGCCAACACAGTCATCTTCTCCTCTCTTATCTCAGGGGAAGAACAAAAGTGGTAGGTGTCTCTCCTTCTCTTCCCTCTAACTCACTCTTCACTTGACTTATATATATATTTTTAGGAAATTCACTTGACTTATATTATTCGTTTCATCAAGGAGGATATGAGCTACGTGGAATCTGGAGCTAATTGAGGATGCATGGCTTCATACGTGTAAGAGAAAGGGAAATGAAAGATAAGATGAAGGAAAGGTTTCCATCACCCCTTCTTCCCTTGCTTCTCTCCCCCTCTTATCTTTTTTTCTCGGTTTTCACACAGAGCAACCAAGGGTGTTGTATGTTGCTGACTCTTCCTCGTGTCCACATAATTAATATTAATTTCACCTCTTCACAAGCCTAGTGCTACACGTGTATTGCTAAGTGGCAAAGAACCAATCTATGTCTTACTAAGTAAATTGAAAAGGGAAAAAATGACAAAGGGGAGTAATTGCACCCCTAATCGATATTTACATAATAAATTTTAAAAACACACATGTTAAGTAATTTGAGAGGGAAAGGATGTGACACTTTTTTTTATAATGGTGATTTAGATTAAACAAAAAAGAGATAACAGAACAAAATCCGCAAGGGCCGAAGAGATCACTAGAAATGATCTCAGACCACCCAGAAAGGAAGGAAAAGGTCCGCAAAGTTTGGTGGACGAGACCACCCTTACAAGCGGCTACAGAAGGAAACAGGAATCTATGACAAATCTCAAGTAGATTAGCACAAACTCCCCTAAAACACTACAAAATTAAAGATATATAGGAACAAAGATAAAGGACAACTCTTTGTACTCGTCTCCGGAAAATCCAATTGTAGTGAAATTGGGGACAAATTGGTTAATTGTCCTCAAAAGCAAGAAAACATGGATATTAGTTTTTCGGGTTCGTCCCCGAAACAATTGTTTACCGCGGGTTAAGTTTTTGAATTTTTTTTAATTTTTTGGCTCTGCCAATAAAATAATTACGAAACTTCACCAATCCTTTCTCCAAACCTACACAATAAAGGGATATATTCTCTTCTCCTTCGTTTCACTAACCCTACCTACAGTGTGGCCGATATACATATGGCGGCGCCATCTCCGTCTCCGTCTATACCTCTGTGTTGGTATACTCTAATCTCTAGTTAGCTTCAGATAATTTTCTTAACTTTTTTTTTTTTTTTATCTTTTTGCTTCCCGCAGGAATCACCATGTAAGGGAATGAAATCAAAGGCTAACGAAGAGAATTGGTACCGCGAGAGCGAGCATCTTCCCCTCCGTTTATACAATTCTATTAGATAAAGAATAATTGTGATTACAGTTTTAGGGATTTAAGTTCAATTTTCTTTTATCCACCTCTTCCTTTATTGATTCAATAGTTGTTTGGTAGATTTCGTTGCCTCTTCAATCTAGGTTGCTTCATAGACGGCAGAGAAAAGTAAATTTTGTTTTTAATATAGTGTTTAGAATTGGGTATCTGTATATCTCTATCAATTTTATATTAGAATTATCAATTTCATTGCTTCTTGTTTATTGTTCAGGACAATTCCCAACGGTGGCAATTGTTTTGTGATAATGACCTAATGGAATGGAAGGATTACACTAATTCAGGTAATCCTTGAATGCTCGATTCTGGTATGAGGGAATCTGAATGGTTCTTAGTTGTGTTTTTTTTTCCTCCAGATTATGCAGTCATGCAGTGAAAGATTTCACCTTAGGTTGCTCTCTTGAAGAAGCCAAGAAGTCCAGTCTTCTTGTTTTCTACCCTGAACTAGTCAATAAGGTTCAGTAATCTTGATTAAAATCTCAAGGTAAATTATCATAACATACTTGTCTGCCAATACAGGTTGGTTTATCTAAGTTGTTAATGTATGATTATGTTTCTATCAAGCTATCTGAATTTTTAGATTATGCCCTAAAATTTTGTAACTTTGTAGTTTCTCTTCTTCTTTTTTCGTTGCAGAAGGATGATCCATGCCTTCTGCTATTTGCTTAATTGGATACTAAAGTAATTCGAAGATTGCAAAAGTGTCTTGACATCAAGATTAATAAAGCAAAGAGGTTCAACATTTTTCTAGAGTGAAGTCAAGTAAACTTTGTATTGATTGGTAGGTGAAGTTGTGTATCCAAGTTATTATGGCAACCCATTGAATGGATATTCTCTTTGCAGAAGTTAAAAAAAAGTTTGAGACTAGATGTAGATATTATCTTTTATCTCTGTTATCGCAAAGTTTTTTCCCCCTTATGGCCCCTAGTAATTTAGATAACATGTCTGACTCGCAAGTCAAGACTAAGGGATGATATATTGTCTCCAAAGCATTGTATAATTTGTCGGCACTGATACATAAATTAAAGGACAAGCGTCGTCCCTAGAAGTTAGATAGGTGACAATTTTTCGTCCCCAAAGATGAAGCATATGATTTGTTGACTCCAATCGAAGAGTTACGAAGATGACAAGTCGAGCTTATAAAAAGAAACAGGGACGATATATTATCCCCATATAAGCCCAACACAATCATAAATTGAATATGTGGGATAACAGTTTGTCCTTGGAAATGATGTTTAGGGGACGACTTATTGTCCTTGTAGTTATAGCTATAGGGACGACATGTGGTCTTTCATGGAAACAAATGAGACGGCGATTTGCGAGTATTGGGAACGACTGTCGTCCCTAGTAATGGGGACGACCTAGATTTTTGTCGTCCCCAAAAGAATAGAGGACAAGATTATAGGGGACCACACGTTAGGGACGACTTAGTCGTCCCCAAAAGCTATAGGGACGATTTTTCCTATTTCCGGAGACGACTTTTGTCGTCCCCAAACCCCCCTCTTTTTTGTAGTGAAAACTGCTTTTGTCAGCAAAAATATCAAGGGGGTACTTCACTGTTACACCCCTCTGTACATCGGCTTTCACTTTTCTGCAAATGCTGCCAAGCCTTCCAGACGATCGTTCGTGTTCAGCAGCAGCTCATAACACACTTCTTCCAAGTCCAGTGCAGCATGCAGATCAACTTCGACCCCCTCGTTGATGGCCTTCTTCGCCATCCTGCTCGCTATTGGACCCTGGCAAATTTTCCAACAACTGTTACTCCTTTTGGACGAGCATCGCCTGCAGGTACAACATAATTGGCGAGGCCAATGGACATTGCCTCATTCGCTTCAATCCATCGACCGGTAAATATAAGTTCTTTCGCCACTGCTTTCCCAACTAGCCAAGGAAGTCTTTGATTCCCACCAAGGCATTCCATACATGTAACCGTGCACAATTTGTAGGTAATCACACACACATCCCACACACCAGTACACACATTCAAACACACACATGGTTAGCCAGATTATGTGTATTTTTCCCTTTAAATTGTCAAGTCATGCACTTCCCCGGATATATCCAGTAGATGCATAAAGCACCGCCAATAGATGCATTAAGCCCCGCCAATAGATGCATAAAGCACCGCCCAATAGATGTCTTAGGCACCACCAATAGATGCATAAAGCACCACCAATAGATGCATTAAGCATCGCCAATGACCAGGCCTTAGGCCTAGCTCTCCTAGAGAGCTAGGCATAAAGCCGCGGTATCAGATCTCATGGACTGCATGACAGGGCACCAATAAGTTTGATTTAGGTGATCAGACAATTCTTTAGTTAGTCACAGAACAAGTACCAAGCAGTATCATCAATTATTTAACACGTGTCTATTCACATATTCATAACATTCACATAGTCACATTCACCATTTCCTATAAACATATCGTCACTTTATAGGCTTCCCAATATCACATTTTGGCCTTATAGGCTTTCCAGTAATCACACAATAGCCAATTAGGCTATCCCAATATCCTCGTATAGCCATTCAGGCCATTCATTATCCCCCATTGCCTCATAGTCTTTTCAGTACTGTAATATCCCCTTTTAGGCCATTTCATATCACATACACATTTCATTTCCCGTTCATAATCATCATCAATCACATTTCCCACATATCATCAAATAATCATACACACATCACATTCACCCATCATTCATCACATATCATTTCATTCACACACATATAGGCATAGCTATCAATCGCACATTTCATGTTCCATATTCGGGCCGCTTCATGACCCAAATACCATATTTGTATCCATACGGTTAATATGTTAGAATTTACTCACAACACACTTGCTATTCTGCTATACCCTTGCCCTTCTTCGCAACTCTGGCTTGCTCGTTACATTTAATAACCATAAATATACATAGATAAATTAAGTACAAAAGCTAACAGTTTGGTCAATCCCAATTGAAGTATATAAACCGACACATAGTTAGACTTGTTTAACTTTAGACCCTAGTTCATGACTTTAACAGCTTCCCAACTTAATTACAAGGAATGATGCCCCACATCATGAGGACACTTGAGAAGATTAAAAACTCTTTCAACCTTCTTTAACCAATCCAGAGCCACTTTTGGATCAACAGTCCCTTTAAAGGGTTCTGTCCTCATTTTCAACACCTCTGGATAGTCCCTTTTATAAGGGATTTTTTGGTTACGGGACTCTGGCATTATTTCTCTGTGGTCCTTGGGATCCCTGAGGTAGGTTGGCTGCTCCTTCTCCTCCTTGACAGGACTCCACATGAAATCAATAACAACTTCAAATCAGGATCCAAATCCATATTTGACTTAGAATGCAACTTGATTTTAAAATAGACGAGATACCACTTGATTTTAAAAAGGAGCCTTGCATGGTTTTAAAGTATGTATGGATGTTACATTGATAGCTATCGTTCACCATACCCCGAATATAAGAAAAGCTAAAAAATCTTGTGCATGATATTGCTAGACAAATATAAAATACATTTTGAAAAATGAAAAGCGACAAACTTTTTAAACGTGAAACAAGCTTTATCATACACTGGTATCCTGGTTGACGTTTAGATTACGTGATAAATCAACTGGTATCCTGCCCACCATACTACGTGATTTTTAGATTACGTGATAAATCAACTGCTATCCTGCCCACCATACTATGTGCTTCAAAAACAAAGCTTAATATTGAGAGTTGTTATTAGATCTTTAAGGGAGAAGATACAGTGCTAACTCCATAGGGGTTAGTACCATCCTAACTAGCATTTATTTTTATGTTTAATATAATTAAAGAAAGGGCAAATTAGAAAATTAGGGAATAATTAAATTTTTTGAAATTATTGCTGATTTTTAGGGGGGAAATTGTAATGGAATGCGGTTACAATTTTTTCCTCTCTCTCCTCCCTTCCATCACGTCTCTCTCTCCTCCTCTCCATCATAGCTCTCGGTCTGTACCTAAAAAAACTACATGGAAAAAACTACTACCTTTTCAAGTACTACTAAAAATTACTATTATTCATGCGGCTAAGACATTACTCTATTGTTTTAGGTGTGTAGTAGTAATTTGGTAGGCGTAGTATCTCCCTCTCTCTTTATAATTTATATATATCACCTGGTCCATTTTTTTACTGTGAAAGGGATCTTTGAAAATGGTAGTATTTTCATGGTAGTAGAAAATTCAAAATCGAAATATTTTTTTAAGGTTTATATGATTTTTAGTGGTAATTTTAAAGTTAGTAGTGATTCTGTAGCTATTAGTAGTTATTTAGCGCGTTTGTGGTAGTGACTTTAAGACGATAGTGAGATTCGGTGCATTAGTAGCATTTGATTTGATGATTTGTAGTAGTAAATTGATGATATATAGTAGTGATTTTATTATTTGTAGTAGTGATTTATGGTTATTTGTAGTGATTGAGCACATTTTAATTAGTAGAACTAACAAATTTGTACAAGAATTAATTCATTTAAAATTATGTTCTTGAAACTTCAAATCTAATATCAAAAGTCATCAGTTTCCTCCTTGCAAAAAAAGGGGAGTTAAATCAAAAGGTTGAGTGCTATGATATTTGGGAGTTGCTGCACCTTACCGTTAATCCCAATGAAAACTGGAAATAACGGAAGTCTTACCGTTTCGTTCCTCCGTCATTGTGATTAGTAATTAAAAAATGAAATTAACGGTAGCCATCAGGAAGCGCCACATGGCCTGGCAGCAGCTACGGGCTACAAGTCTACAACCCGGGTTGCTGCTAAGTATCGCCCATTATATAATTAGGGTTTAGATAAACACTTAATTAATTATCACCCTAGAATTATTAAAATTTTATTAATGGCAGAAAATAAAATTAGCACCGTACTAACCCTTTAGGGGGTTAGCAGGCCATCCCATCCCGATCTTTAACACATCACATTAAGGATAAAAAGCGTTAATATCATGTTATAAACCACCTGATCCCAACCATTCGAATTGTTAAAAGAGATCCATATATATGATACTTAATCACTCTTGACAATGTAACTAGTTAACCAATTGTCAGAAAGAGATGGAAAGGGAAGTAATGCATGCTTAATATATATACATTATGAAATGGGTGCAACGAATTGCTTTTCGCTATTAATGAAGTGTGGATGGATGTGTGATTAATTGCACTCACAGGATCGCTAACTTCCTACTTCGCATCGATTCAGGTTGGTTGGTGGAGGATAGTAGAATAAAAGATAGGGGGCGTTATTAGTTTTCTGAACTGTTTTTTAAAATTTTAATAGTAACACTACAATACTAGTAAGCATGGGACATATATAAGAGGGCGTGCTTCTGAACCGACTTCTTTGTTTGTTTGTACTAGTTTTGGACTTCTTTGTTCTTTGCCTTTTTTTAATTAAATTTTCATCATCATTATCAAAAAGAAGTATTCACTCTTGAATGTAAATCTTATTCATATTATCTCTACCGCCTCTCGAGTGATTCCAAATAAAAAAACTATAATAAATTACAATTTTCTTGGTGCTTCAGTATGTAAAACAGGTTCCTAATATTGCCCGAAATGAGGCTAATATTGCACCAATTTTTACCAGACCCTGTTCTCATCGGAAACCCAGGTTCCTAATATGACTGAGAGGGTGGCGGCTCTGCCAATTGCCCGAAATGTTACTCCGCAAATGAATGCCCAGTTGACGGCAGAGGTTTTGCCAAGTGAGGTGCGGAGTACGGTTTTTTCAATGGGATCGAAACAGGCACCGGGTTCGGATGGCTTCACAGGGAAATTCTTTAAAGCTTTTTGGGATATTGTGGGCCCCTTGGTGGTCGAAGCAGTAATTTCTTTCTTGACCTCGAGTCGGATGCTACGGAGTTTCAACCATACCTGGCTCACCTTGATTCCAAAAGTTGACTCGGTGGAAACAATTAGACAGTTGCGGCCGATTAGCCTCTGCCAGTTTGTTTACAAGGTGATTACTAAAATAATGGCTGGTCGGCTAGCTAGCATGCTGCCTCAGATTGTGTCAGAAGGTCAAAATGGTTTTATCCGTGATCGGCAGATTATTGACAACATCCTTATAGGACATGAACTAATGCATTATCTAAAAATAAAAACGCAAGGAAAGAAGGGGTACATGGCTCTGAAGGTTGACATGGAAAAGGCCTATGATAGAGTCGAATGGCCGTTTCTGCTTGCGGTTTTGGACAAGATGGGGTTTAGTTCAGTCTGGCAAGGGTGGATACATGAGTGTCTTCGCTCCTCCTCTTTTTCAGTTCTGATGAATGGTACGCCCTCGGGGTACTTCACTGCCTCTAGGGGCCTTCGCCAGGGGGATCCGCTTTCTCCTCTCCTGTTTGTGCTCTGCACGGAGGGGTTTGCTGCTCTCCTCCGTAAGGCGATTACGGAGAAAAGGTTGGAGGGGGTGAAAGTAGCTCCTCGTGCTCCGAGAATTTCGCACCTGTTCTTCGCAGATGATTCTTACTTGTTCTTGCGAGGTTCGCTTCAAGAGTGCGAGAATTTAATTGAGGTGTTAAATGAATATGAAGAGTTGAGTGGTCAGCGCGTTAACTTGGAGAAATCAGCCGTGTGCTTCAGTAAGAATGTTTCCACGGCTGATCAGGAATTCTTGGCTACGATTCTAGGGGTTGGTGCGGTGGGGGTCCATGATAAGTATCTGGGTCTTCCCACCCTGATTGCTCGCTCAAAGATGGAGACATTCAGATATTTGGAGGACAAGCTCCTAGAGCGGCTTCAGGGGTGGAAGCAAAAGCGCTGTCATGGGCTGCTAAGGAAACTTTGATTAAATCTATAGCTTTGGCTCTTCCTCTCCATGTTATGTCTTGTTTCCATCTCCCCCTAGCTCTGTGTCGTCTTTTGGATAGACATGTGGCCCGCTTTTGGTGGGGTGCTGAGGAGGGTCATCCCGGGATTAGATGGGTGTCCTGGCGCAACATGTGCAGGAGTAAACATGAGGGGGGGATAGGATTTCGCCAGTTTGAGCACTTCAATCAAGCTCTTTTGTCTAAGATAGGCTGGCGTATTCTCAATGAACCTCAATCTCTTATTGCCCAGATTTATAAAGGCAAGTACTTCCCTCAAGGGTCTTTCTTGACTGCCACGGCTAGATCTCGGCCCTCTTGGGGGTGGTAGAGTATCCTTCATGGGCGTCATTTATTAGAGATGGGCTTGCGCTGGCAGGTTGGGAATGGCCGATCGGTTTCCCTCCTTCATTCTAACTGGATTCCTAAGTACCAATTAGATCCCCCATGCTACAACCCGCGGGTCTTGCCTGAGGGGGGGGGGGGGATCCTATGGTGAAGGAGGTTATTTGCGAGGGGGGAGGGCGGGGGTCTGATGAGAAACTCAGGCAATGGTTTGATCCTCCCACATGTAGGGCTATTAAAGCTATTCCTCTCCCGAGGTGGGATATACCTGATAAGCTTATCTGGCATTTTGCGGCTGATGGGGTGTTCTCGGTGAAGTCAGCTTATCACTTGGCTGTGGATTTAGACAGGAGGAGGGGTGGGTGGCGAGCCTCGGTTAGCTGGATGGATAAGCCGAGTTGGATTAGAGTTTGGGAGGCGAAAATCCCTCCGAAGTTGAAAGTTTTTGTTTGGAAAATTCTTAATCGGACTCTTCCGACTACAGATGCGCTTATTGAGAAAAAGGTTCAGGTCCTACCTCGGTGTCCAGTCTGTTGGGATGGCCCTGAGACGATGGAGCACTTGTTTCTGTCGTGTCCAGTGGCACGGGTTCTATGGGATTATTCAGAGCTGGACTACTTGGGGGAGGGTTTGCCTCGGCACACTTTTCCTTTGTTTCTCAAGCGTCTGTTGGCCCTGATTCATCAGCCGTCAATGGTCATGGCCGTTATTGCCATCCTTTGGAGGATTTGGCGATCCCGAAATTAGGTAGTCTTTGAAGGCAAGCAATTTGGGATTCCGGCTCTCATGCGCCAGTTTAGCAAACAATATGAGGAGTGGGTGGGTCTTCCGGCGGACCAAGCTCCTAGGGAGTTGAATTCGGTGTTGCCTTCTCCAGTGCGAATGGGTGAGCCCCAAATAATTTGCATGTGGGATGGGGCTACGAAGGGTGGGTCGCATTCGGCTGGTGGGATAGTCATTTTGGACCCAACACGGACACTCTATCAGGCTAGAGGGGTTCAGTTCTCTCAAATGGATAATCCTATGGTGGTGGAGTTGCTCGTCCTTAGGGAAGCTATTATTTGGTGTAGGGAGCTGGGTTTGATGGAGGTCTGTTTTGAAGGCGATGCTAAGGTGGTCATTGACAAAATTAATCAAGCCGACGTAAGAGATTGCAGGTTGGGTGCTTGTAAGACACAAGAAATCCCAATTGGGAATTTAGGGATTGAGAAGAGAAGAATTTAGGGATTTAGAGAATTGGGGAAGAACGAGAGAAAATAGAGACTAGGGATTTGAGAATTTCTGATTATTATTGCTTAATTCCCAAAACTAATGAAATGCATCCTTAAGTAGCAGTAAACCGAAATAACACAAAATAACAAGTTTGCCACTCCTTCCTCCCCTCTTTGGCCGACTCGGCCCTCTCCCTCTCTAACCTGAAGTCGGGTTTCCCACAGTGCTATTCTGGAAGAAATTGGACATCATTTGCGTGCTCAGCCTGGTTTTAGTGTGCGGTTTGTAGGTCGGGGAACAATAGGGTAGCACATATGGTTGCTAGGAAAGCCCTTTCTTTGTATCCGACTATGAGTTGTTTTTTTTATTTCCAGTCCTGGCTGGTTTCCAGGGTGTAACTGCCTATGTTTTGATCAATCTATGATATCTTTTGAAAAAAAAAAAGTATGTAAAACAAAATATAGAAATTCAAATATCAGACCAATAATTAAAAGCTGTAATTTTGTTATTAATTGCATGGATGCATGCAAACTATTTATACACTTGGTCAATTTGGGTGCATGCAAACTGGCATTTAAATTTACTTACCAGAGAGCAACAAAACTTTATGAGACTCACCAAATGGAAAATGGTATCCAAACTCTAAAATTACCACCATTAATTACTACTAGCTAGCTATATATATAGGCTATAGCTACTTCATTCTTGGGTAGTGGTGTTTGAAGCAGCAGCAGCAGAGACGGAAGCACTGTTAAGAATGTTGAATGGAAACGTAGTCGGTAAATATGACGATGAAGCTGACGATGGTGACGAGGATGATCCATTGCTCATCATGGAAGTAAGAGCGGCGGCTATGACGGTGCGGAAGCTTGGGTCGGAAGTTAACGCCTTGGTCAACGTCTCCGTCAAAACAGCCTGTTGGTTGGATCCATTATTGCTAGTTACATTGGGGTTGTATGGTGATGAGCTGGCAAAGCTGAGGCTAGGTGGAAAGTACTGTAGTGGTCTCGATGAAGGTGGAGCGAATAGAGGAAGGCCGCCGGCACCGGAGGTTGTGGGAGGCGCGGTGAGGTCTAGGGTGATGGTGGGGAACAACGGGGAGGGAGTGGTGTAGTACTGAGACGGTGGTGATGACGTGGAGGAGCCGGAGAGCAACATGGAGGCGGCGGCGGAGGTGGTGGAGACCATGGCGGCGGCGGAAGCTGGAACCGGGTGGTTGTGGGTTCCCTCGTATGTGGTGATCAGGATTGACATGTCATCTGCACATCTTTGTACCTGCGATCCATCGATCAGTTGAACATCATTAGCACTCTATTATATATATATGCTGTGAAATGGGGAGTACAGTGTGAGTTGATGTCAGTTGAACATCATTATTGGGATTTGGTTAAGCAAATATATTTATAAAAGAAAATATTATTATTCGTTGAGCACTTCTGTTATGCTATATAGTATTGGTGCTTTAATGTACAACTTGAAGTTGTACCATAACATTAAATGTATAAGTTTAGGTTGTACCATAAAGGAATTTGTATCATTATGTTATGGTACAACTTTACAACTTGAAGTTGTACCATCACAAAAGATACAAGTTTAAGTTGTACCATAAAAGAATTTGTACAAAAAGTATAGGTACAATCTGAAGTTGTACCATAACATTAAAGGTACAATTTCAAGTTGTAGCATAAAGGTAAAACTTATAGCGTGCTATATAGTATTGTAAAATTCCTCTTATCCATTGATTAGAATACGTGAACATCGGCGTTCTTGCTTTGTTCCCGTATGCAATAATTATTTTAGTTGGAATAAAGAGTACTTAGAGCATGAGTTGATGCACAAAGGTTAAGCATGAGTTGCCAATAATATACCTGCATTTCTACTTCTTTCTAATTTTCAAATAAGTTAATCCAAAACCAACTTTTAAAGCAAGATTACATCATTTTACGAGTTTTGAATTCAAAATAAAAAACTATCTAGCTACTAAATCATACCATTGTCATTCTTCTAAAGACGTCAATACATGCTGATCAATTAATCGCGTTGATTAATGGAGACAAACTAACCTATGATATTATTATCCAATTTAGTGATTAGAGTATATGAAATAGTACAAATCCAACTACATCAATTCATGTTGATCACCTTAATTCACATAGGCATTGCATAGCTAATCATATCAATGCATGCTTCATGTAGCCAAACTAACCCACGAAAACTCACATGCTAATTTTCTTTCTTTGTTTGTTTAATTGAATTTCACGACGAAATAATTAAGTTATCTTGTTCTAGAACTGCTGCTCACAATCTCAGTGTTCACTGTTCACGATGAGCATCCATCCCATTGCACATGCTTGTTGTTTATTATTCTATAAACTAAATTAAATCAATTCACGATTTTGATACGATTGACCCCCAGGTCAGGCCACCATGATTTTCTCCAACTGTAGTTATGGTATGCTGTCAATTCCACATTCCAAAGTTCCATAAACTAATCAATTTTTGGTACGTGAATCATGCTTCGTTTTCATAAATAATGCAAAAAATATATTTATATATCAATTCTATGCAACCAAAATTTTCAATCTACTGCCGATCCCAATATAAAAAATTTGAGACATGTATATATATGAACTCGGTGCAAGTTGACCTTGCACAGTACAACTAGTCGATCTCTTTTGGTCTGTGAAAACTAGACTTGGTGCAAAAATGTGGCCTCGGTGGCAAAAAGGACTAGGACAATGGTTCAGTATTTGGTAAGAATGGTAATAGTTAGGTATAGGCTTGTACCTGCTTTCTGACGGGGCATGATGGTGCAACGGTGCAACGATAGTAGGCTCGTGGGCAGGGGTTCCCTTTGGCTATTTTCTGCCCATATTTCCTCCATTGGCATCCATCATTCATCTGCAAACCCACAATCAAGAAATTAAATCCACACAGCTTGTTAGCGAACTAACCACTTGGCCCCAATAACTCGAGTTGTTGGGAAAGGGATAGTTAAGTCTTTTAATCTCTTACACACCCCCTCAAACGAAAGCCGTTGCCAAATTGTGGATTTTTACGGGTTGCACAGGTTGAACCCTTGTGCTGCCAAACCACGAGGCTTTAGTTTGCACAGCTTGGACATACCATTCCTTGTGCTAAACGAATTGGCATTAAATGGGGGTCGTCATGAGGATTCGAAACCATGACCTTTCGGTTCTAGGCTTTGATACCATGTTAGCAAACTAACCACTTGGCCCCAATAACTCGAGTTGTTGGGAAAGGGATAGTTAAGCCTTTTAATCTCTTACACAGCTAACTATATGTGTAGTGTAATGTAAGGAGGTAGGTTAGTTTTTTTTTTTTTTTTTTTTTGAAAGGAAGGAGGTAGGTTAGTTAGTTGAAGAAGTTAAGTTAGGAAGGGTACCGTAGGGGTTTGGCATCTGGCTCTGACGCAAACCCTAGCTCTCTTAGCTTGGGTCTTGTCATCGGGATAAGAATCATCCTCCGTACAATGAACCCTCTTCGCTGGTGCTTTGCTTGGATCCCACGTCTCAGCTGCTGCCTTATCCTCCTTCACCGATTCATCATCACCACGTGGGTTAATGTTGGTATTATGATGAAGAAAACAACCCAAGTTATCTACAGGGAATTTGGCATCATCATGATCCATGGTCAACCCTCGGCCCAGTGTCAGACTGCAGCTCCCAGCTTTGACCTCTTCTTCCTTATTGTTCCCCGATGAAGAAGTAGTAGTAGTAGTAGTCGTACTTGTGCTGGAAGATTTCTCCTGAATCCGATCATCTTTCGCAGCAGCGCGACTTCCCAAGCAAAGCGAGAGCTCTTGATCATCACGATCTACCGCTGCTGCCAACATCTTGGAACTAGACGACGCCGTTGCAGTAGCTTGATTACCAAGAAAGTCGAGGAAATTGCGGCGAAGGGAGCTGTAATCCCTCGTCATCTTATCCAAGGTCAGCTTTAGCCTCTCGTTCTCTTCCCTAACTTCCCCCATCTCCGCTCTCGCCGATTCAAGCACCACCTTCTGCACAGCTCATCAAATCCCTTAATTAGCTTTCATTGTATGACAGATATATACATAGCAACATATACCGACCAAAAAGCTATCTACAACTCCATGAATACCCGGCAAACACATGAGGGTTAGGAGAATCTGTAATATACAGTACCTTTGGATCGTTGACTTTGGCATCAACTCCACAACTGCGATGAAAATGATGGTGAGTATCGTGATCACAAGTACTACGAGGAGGAACAACCATCTTGTCCTCCACGATGGGAGCTGGTGAGCTAGACATGTTACTTTTTCTGGAAGAGAGAGCAAAAATGGGAACAGGAAAAGTTAGTATTGCTGAACTGGGATCTTGAGCTTTCTTGTGTTTGATTTGTTGTTGCCCGGGATGTGAATTGATGGTGGTCTCTATATAGAGGGGCTTGTAGAAAGAAGAAGAAGAAGAAAGAAAAAGTCGTCTTTTGATTTGATGGAGTTGGGTGTGAAAAGTCGTATGTTGGAAAGTGGCAACTGGCAGCCCAATTCGATCGGCTCATCTTACGCTGCAAACACACAACAGAGGGCCCAAAAAGGTCAACGTATACAGCCTCCTCTGACCCCCCGATATCTACGGCAAGATAACACTCTTCTTCTTTCTTTCTTCCTTTCTTTCTTTTTTTAAGAAGCAGAAGAATACTTCTTTCCCCACTTGGGCCACTTCTCAGTAGTCTCTCACACAGATTTATTTTTAATATATAGAATGGAGATCTGTAGACCCCAAAATAAAGAAATCAACTTCGGAGTTTTGATGGACCAAAAAAAAAAAAGAGAATGAAATCAAGTTCAACGCAGAGTTAAGGACACAGATCATCATGTGTATGACGCATTGAATAAGTTGATTCAGCTTTTTTTTTATGTAGACTATGGAGATCGGGACCTAGATTATCGGGAGGGAAGACATTGTGGGAGGGAGGGTGAGACTTTACATTCAATTTGTTGAATGTGAATTAAGCAGCCATTTAATTTGTTATTATTATTATTATTATTATTATTATTATTGGAACTGTATTATTATTACATTTTTTCTTGGTTTGTTGGGGTGTAATAGCTAGCTAGGTACTGGGTAGATGTTGGTTGTTTAATTTCTCAAGGTTTCTTTCTTACGTCCACACTCAAGAAATAATGGAAGGAAGGAAGAAGGGAGACAGACAGGCGATGACCTTTGACTTAGGGTTCAGGAAAGGAGAGGGAGAGTCAAAGTTTGTGCCGGTGATCATCATCACTGTTTTGGTTTTTCTATAGAGATCCGGTGGAAGGACGCTTTCTTGCTAATTGCTATTTGGCTGGTCTATTTTTCTCATATATGTACATACTAGTGATTATGAAACAAAAATAATTAATATGGGCTTCACTAAAATACTACATTTTACAAGTACATTATACACGTTAAACATTGCATAGTTTTTTTTTATCACCCTTGTAAAATTGGATGAAATTATACATGCATGATCTCAACATTATTTTGGGAAAAGGGAGGTAATAAAAAAATTCATTGCTCCTCACCCACATAATGAGACAATACAATAGATTTCGAGATCATATGCCTCATGATGCTACTGTCAAACCGAGTTGCTCAATTAGTACGATATTGTCCGTTTTGGGTCAAGTCCGCACAGATTTACTCTTGGGTGTCCTTCCTAAAAGGCCTCGTACTAATGAGCTTGATGGACACTAATATACAAGTGTTTCTTTCCTTAATTATATTTTTGATGTAGTGCTTGGATTGTCTCATAACAGCTATCATTATAAGTAAGATTAGAATATTGTAATCTATAGAGAGGCTTGCCAGCTATCTAGCTCCATTAGCCAACTATTCGGCTTTTGGAAGACATGTCTTTCACACTCACCTCGCTTTCACGAATTGGTTGTAAATTGATCAAATTAAAAGTGGATTTCCACCATCCCATAAAAGTAAAGACGTTCAGTAAAAATATATTTACACTCCCATTGTGTAACAAAGGATATCATACCTTATTATTTTCATTAAATTAAAAATAGATATGTGTAGTAATTTGATGAAATGGGAATGGTTGAGAAAACATTATTGCAAGGAGATAAGGGATAAAATGGGTTGATTGTGCTCAAGATAGAGTGCATAATATTATAGTGCATAACTATGAGTAACCAAATCTAAACCCTTCTTTTATGTGGTTGCGGATCTAAGGGTGGAGAATTAAAAGAATTTATTTTTCTTAGTTTTCTTGATTGGATCATATCTTCTTCATATTTTTCTGGGTGAAAAAATTTCATACTTCTCGTTACCAACTCCATACCATACTATACCACCCTGGTATGGGGTGGTATTTTTCATACCATATGGTATGTTGTTATTTAATACCAGTCAATACCATATGGTATAGACTGGTAGTAACTGGCAAATTTATTTTGTTCCAAAAAATATCAAAGTGGATATCATTTTGAAGAGCACAATTAATTTGATCTAACTGTGCAAAAAAAATTAAATTCACAGTTAAAGCGAGTGAGAAATCGTCCGTTAAAGATTAAGGGAAGAAAAATTAAAGATTTTTCGAGGAGAGAGAAGGTAGCGCTGATGTGGCGGATTCTTATTGGCTTATGCATGGGATTATAGCAACACAAGGTTACTCACTGGATCTACTCCGGTTGATTGGATTTTGTGGGAGTCCAATTTTCTTCTAGACAGAGTTTTGGCTCATATTCTATATGCTTGGAAAATAAAAGAGTTTTGGTAACAGCGGCATATGATTATTTTTATATTTATGTGCAACCGAAGAGATTCGAATCTGACACTAATGGTATATATAACCATTACTACAAGTACTTGTTTGTAACTTCGCAAGTTTTGATAAAATAAGCCACCAATGTTTCACGAAGGGATGATCGTGACTTGCACCTCATGCTTAAATAAAATTATTCATATGCATTATCAAAGATTAAAATTTTAAAAAAAATGTGTTGAGATTGTGTGAAAAAATGAATAACGTAAACGAATGTAAATAAATGTAGCATTAATATGTGAAAAATAAATTATATACGTGATTGAGGAAGAACAAGTGTGACCGGCCAGAACAAACTCTCAGTCAGACATACTTCCTCTTATTCAATAGTTTTTATTATTAAAGAAAAGAAGTTGATGGCAGCCATGGAACCGGCCGACATCGACATGATTGTCCCTGAGCTTGACGGTCAAACGCTTGTTTAACACGGCCTGAAAATTTGAAAAGCTCTCCCGCCGGCGGCCCCCACGAAACCTCTACAAGTTGGAAGTGTTGAACCCTCATGCTGCATGCCCACTTGACCGGCCGTCCATCTCTCTCAGGACTCAGTCAGTCCTCACCGTTCCATCCCGTTGTGTCACATTGATCTACCCTCTCCTTTCATCTACGGATCTACCACGTTGGCCGCTCCACTGGGCCGCTTCCTTGCTCACGGCCCAATACTCGACCAGCAACCCTATAGCCTCTCGCATCCCAGGCCTACGGTAGGCCCGTATCCTCCTTTAGTTATGTACTTATTCCTCCCACCTCACATTTTGCAGCAACTCATTAAGCTCTGACCTAATGAAAAATCAGAGGATGGTGTCATTGGTGTGCATTGTCATCTGCTTTTATAGTTACGCATTGGAATTTCGAATTGTTAGGTTGTACTTGTACATGATTTATCATAACTTGTTTTAGATAGGTAATATTTGTCGCTAGATTGTATTGTGCGAGAACAAGTCTTCTAATTGCTAAATCGCTTTATTCAGTTTTGTTCTCTAACAAAATCCCTTATACATGTCACCTAATGATAAGTTTGATCCCTTATATGTGATGTGACAAAGGCAAAAGTATGTGTGCTTCCAAATGCCTACCGCAATCGATTACGGGTCAAATATAAATCAGTCACGATAAACGTTTTGACATGCACACTACGATGAGACAAATATGTATATTAAGTTAGCTACCCAATTTATACGAGAGAAATATGAATATTAAGATAGTCACGGTAGTAAACATGGTTATTCCCGTCTATAGCTATTCTGTTCAAGATTATGCGATGAGAGGAATGATGTGTTGTTCTGTGTGATGTTGCGAGGTACTGCTGTGCCACGGGAATGGCCATTGCTGTCTACTTAGCCGAGAAACCGCAGCCCCCCACGCTTACTTGCTTACGATATGCGGCGGTGATGCACATACTGGAAAAGGACAGACATTCAGACACATCTCCTCGGCCTCGGGACTTTTCTTTCTTGCAATGCAATCTTGTTTCTCCCAACAACGTCACATCTTCCAACACCCCCCAAAAAATTCTGCCACCTCCCAAACCAGCAGCAACACATCACCTGTCACCCCAGCAAGCATCATATCATCATCATACATCGCCACGTCAACCCTAAGGGCCCGTTTAGTATTGTTGCTTGTTTTTTGTTTCTGTTTTGTTTTATGAAATTTGGAAAACCAAGAAAAAAAATCGTGTTTAGTTGGGTTTTTATTTTCTGTTGTGAATCAGAGTTGCACAACAGGGCCCAAATATGAGAAACAACAATTTATTGCTTTGGATCTGATTCTTAAACATGTTGCACATGGGATTCCTACTGGTTGGGCACTTGATTTCATTAAACCAGACCAGTTTTCGAATCCCCACAGAAGCAAATTTTTTTTTTATTTTTTTAACACGGCCCCCCAACCCTACTTCAACTTATCAGCCGCCGACATCCGCCCGTGCACCTCGCCGCCGTCGCCAGTCCCCCCTGCCGCCGCCGACCACTTCCCCTCCACAAAAGCCTCACTTCATCTCCCCCACAGCAGGTAACTTCAACTTCTTCAAAGTATTATGTTAATCTATACTTTCTGAATATGTTGATAATCAAGTTTAGTATTATTTTTTATGTAGGGAACATGAAAGATGTTAGGTAAATTGAATTTTGTGAGACTTTGCTTAATATTGAGAACATATCTCTTTTTTCTGGTGTTTAGTTCTTA